GTGTGGAGGAGAGAAGAGAAGAGAGAGAGAGAGAGAGAGAGAGGTTCTCTCCATCAATGCAGTGGTGACAGGGATTGGCTACCAGTGAACGACAAATGGAGCAATGAATGGGGGCCGATACGTCAGCCAGATGCCCAGTCCCGACGTCACGGCAGTAAAGGCCTCGCGACTCAAGTCGTAAATTGTATTGTGACGTAATTCGTACTGTCAGGCGCTTTAAATGGTTTTGGAGGAAGGCTTTAAGTGTGTTCAGAAGTATGTCTTCGGCTTCACTGTAGTGTTCTCAGGAGGTATTTTAATTGGGCTCCATTGTTTTGGGTAGTTAACGGTTAAGTCCACCCTTAAATTGGAGGGAGATGCACGAGTCTAAAAACTGACACGTGGATAATCTTACCCGAAGATATCGTACCCAAACTAATACCCTGATGATCTTAGCTTACGATCTCACACACAACCAGCGCATTTCTTGATTGGTTTCTTTTGCAGGTCTCTAAAAGACATAAAAGACATCCGCTTTAGTTGACTTTAGTATGATTATGATGGTTGTGTGTGTGTGTGTGTGTGAAAAATACCTATAAGACTTTGATGGCAATTTTATTGCTAGTGAAAGAATTAGGCAAACGTATTTCACTTGTTTTAACAATTTGATCTTCATATTTAACTTTTAAGCCAAAATTTAGTGCTCATTTAAATATCTATCATCCATATCAACACCAAAGGGAAAACACTGGTGGTCATAGGACCTCACCTATGTGAAGAATAAAAAATGTTGTTCAGCTCGAGTAGCTAAGAGGGTCACCTCATCAAATTAGCACTTGAATCCTACTTAGTCACCTTTACTGATGATGACATTATAAACTTATGCAAGAGTTTGACTAACTTTGATCAAGGTATAGTAGTCAATTATGTAAGCTACATCTGCTAAAAGTGTAAATATCACATCTTCTTGCTCATTGCAATCTGTATTCAGAACCTGAAATCATATGAGATGAAATGTAGTCCTAGTGACTGTCCTTTTTGTACCCCAGTAACTCCGAAACTTGCACACTAAGATACACTTTGAGACAACAGTAGAAACTGCTATTCTCTTTATCAGGGAACAGATCTGAGACAAGGAGGAAATCTGACATGGTTCTTTGAATACCTCATATTATTTATTATGGTGTCATCACAGAGTAGAAGTTGGTCATCAGGTAAAAATAAGTAATAAATGAATCACTCGTAGGCTCTAGCATATAGGCTGAAAGCCAAAGCATGAGTCATGTGCAACCTTTGACAACCTCTTTTAGAGAAATCTCATCTCCATTCCAAAAAAAAAAGATGACATTGGCTACGTTGTCTCAATCAAATGATACTGATAGAGGAAGATAAATTATTGGAAGTGTATGTTTCTTGATATCATATGGATCAAGACATTTGCACATTTATTTTTTTTAATTTTTTAAGAATAAATGACGAAGATGGGATTCGGCTTTACGACAAACTATCAAAGTTTTTACTAACGAAAAACTTTGATAAATCATCAAAATATCTTAAATTTAATCCTTTGAAAAAGAAAATTTAATCCTTTGCCAAGTCAATATTGATAATGAATCCGTTGATAATTGCTTAAAAGAATTTGTGCTGATAACACACTATCACTAATTTTCTTCCCTCAAATGATAATTGACTATACTTCTATTATGAGTAAATAATAGTCAAGGAACCAATCCATGAGGATTAAGGATATTATTTTTTTCTTACAAGGAGTACATTATATATCAGGAAGATACAGGAAAATTAGATAGTCTTGCAAAGGAATTCAAGAAAGGAGATGGATCTCCTTGTGGCATTAGAGCTAATACAAACTTAAGTTACACTAATTGCAATTCTATCAGTGAGACATAAAAAACCTTTATTTATTTTGAGCTGCAAATTTTGAATAATGAGGTGAAATTAACAACTTTCTAAAAGTAAAAGGATAAATAAAATGTATGTTTCTGAAATCTATAACGGATGGGTAATAGATTCTTTGGTCTTCCACATAACAAGGTGTACATGATGGAAGTGATGAAACCTTTCATGATTAAAGGTC